GTGTTCCATTTCGTTTCTGATGATTTCCAGTTTCCTAGATTCATACTTCGTACATTCCACATTCTGATTATTAATGGATGTTTGCAGCTGTTTCTTCTCATCTTAAGTCATGCCACATCAGCAAAGGAAGGTCCCAAAAGCTTGAGAACTCATAAAAATTAATTACATTTGTTCATCCAAGGAATATATCAATAAAATGAAGAGACAGCCTACAGATTGGGAGAAAATTTTGGGGAACCATATATCTGATAAGGGTCTAACATACAAAATACGTAAAAAGAAAAACTCCTACAGCTCGACAACAAAAAGAGAAACAACTCAGTTAAAAAATCGACAAAGGACTTGAACAAATATTTCACCAAAGAACATATTCAGATGGCCAACGAGCACATGAAAAGATGCTTAACATCATTAGCCATCAGGGAGATGCAAATCAAAACCACAGTGAGATACAACCTCATCCTCATTAGAATAACGATGATTAAAAAAAAGAAGGAGAAATCAGTAGGTGTTGGAAAGGATATGGAGAAATTGGAACCCTCATCCATTGCTGATGAGAATGCAAAATGGTACAGCCACTGTGGATAACAGTTTGGCAGTTCCTCAAAAGGTTGAACATAGAACTACCACGTGACCCAGCAATCTCAATCCTAGGTATATACTCCAAAAAAGTGAAAACGAGAATGCCAACAGAAACCTGTACACCAGTGTTCATTGCAGCACTTTTTACGATAGGCAAAAGTTGAAACAACCTAAATGTCCATAAGCAGATGAGTGGATGAACAAAATGTGGTGTATATATACAATGGAATATTACTCAGCCATAAAGAGAAACGAAGTCCTGATACACACCACAAGTGGATGAACCTTGAAAACATTATGCTGAGTGAAATAAGTCAGTCACAAAAGAACAAATACTGTATAATCTCACTTATATAAAACAAACAAATATATAGAAACCAAAGGTTAATTAGTGGTTACCAGGGGTGGGAGGAAGGGGGAAAGAGGACGTTTTTGCTTAGAGGGCATTGAGTTTATGTTCATGGTGGTAGAATAATTAGGAAAAAGATAATGATAGGGGTTGCACAACATGAAGACTGTAATAGATCCATTGAATTGTTCTGTAGAAACTTGAATTGGCGAATGTTTGGTTGTGTATATTTTCACCACAAATTTAAAAAAACTCCAATATAATTGACCATCAGATTAAAAGGGAAAATACATATAAGGTATGTTAAAATAAATCCTATTCTGTTCTGACAATGACTGCTCAGAGTAGGGTCATATTTTACAGGTGAAAGGCCACAGTCCTCCAGACTGCTAGGTCTGCCCAAGACTTCAGACACCAGCCACAAGCTTGGGGATTGCCAGGCCACCCACACGTATAACCACTGCTACAAATTTGAAGGTTCCCACTACCCCCTCAAGACATCAGCAAGACATCATCAAGGTCAGGGATCCCCAGGCCACACACACTTCTGACCTGCTGACCACAAATTCAAGGGTTCCCACTATCCCCAGGGGTTCGATAATTTACTAGAATGACTCACAGAACTCAAGAAACCACTATATCTACAAATACAGTTTTATCATAAAAGATAGAAATCATGACCAACATAAAGAAGAGATGCATAGGGTGAGGTCTGGGAGGGTCCTCAATGGGTAGCTTCCACGTCCTCAGGGATGCATTACCCTCCCAATGCTTCAATGTCTATCACCAACCAGGACAGTCATCCTAGCTCCAGTGCCCAGAGTTTTTCTTTTCTTCTACTTGGTGAACCACAGGTGTGACTTCATTACTTAGCTAGAAGGGTGTCCGGGGGCCATACTCTTGTGGTTTCTCCAGTTTCTGTTATGCCAGTAAGTCTGGTCTTTTTTTTTGTGAGTTAGAATTTTGTTCTACATTTTTCTCCAGCTCTGTCCAGGACCCTCT